CAATTTTCATTTATTTTATTTTATTTATCATCAAAAAAAGGGTTTTAAAAATCTAAATATAAAGCATAAATATCCGAGGTTATTGTTCGGTGTACTTGTTATCCTTATAAACAGCTTAAGCATGTAAATCTAGAGCCCGCAGCAAAAACGATAGATGATAATAGAGATTGAAAGATCGGTGTATTTTAACAAGTTTGCAAAAAACAAGATATACAAGTAGGTTGACTTTGAAAAATAGTCTCTGTATGAAAAAATATGTGTGTAAGTATTTTTTTTTTTTTTTTTGAAGCAGTTTTTTATATACACATCTGTTATTGCGATAATGATAAAAAAGAAACTTACCCGTTGCGGTAAGAGCGATTACCGCTAAAAGGGTCCAGTAACGTTTCCCCATTATTTCGTCCCCGGGGATAAAAAACAGCCCCGTTTGATGCATGAACAGAGGTTGTCACGTGGTCACCTTGTAAGACACAGGATTCCCTAGAACGAGTTACACAGAGCCTCGTTTTGAGCTTGTGACAATCTCCGGTTGAGTGACAACGGCAACAACTGAGAGTTTAAGTAGCAACCGTTAATTGATGATACCGATGATCCAGATCCAGACACGCCAAAATCACGACACACTGTTACAGAGGACTGAAGCGATTTAAGTGAAGATGAGGTTGCAATAAGCGATAACAAGTTGTTGTAATAGAAGTTGTAGTAGCTTAAGAAGTTTAAGAAGAAATTTAAGAAGAGTAAAAGTGTTGAATGAGCGTTAACAAACACGTTAAACATTTTCACGTAGCCAAGGCTCTGATTCGATACTAATGCCACCGCAGACTAGACACGTGACTAACAACAATGATACGCGAAGAACAATAACAACAACAACAACAACAACAACAACAACAACAACAACAACACTTCCCGGCGGTTAAATTTCAGCTGGTGCCCGCGTCTTATTTTTAATCTTGTTTTTGTTTTTGTTCTTAATCCGACTGCCGGGTGAGCTTAGCTTATTGGCGCGGCATTCCAGCTCCTGTTCCAGCTGAACTTTAGCCCAGCTACGGCGACAATTCATGTTCAACTGGAACATAGTAGTTCCTCGACAATGACATGGTACCGAAAAAATTATCACGCCAATAACTGACGCACTGGCATCCAGGTCATGCGGCACAATAGATCTGACCAACCTCTCGCCGCTTTTTATTCTTTATTCTTCACTTTATTCTCTATTCTTCCCTCTTGAGAATACGTCCTCTGTCTCGCTTACCCTCTTCAGTGGTTAACTCTTTAGCCTTCAATTTCTCTTCCACTTGAATCTCGAGTAACTGGTAGTAACCATTAGCTGGTTCCGATCTATCAGCCCTCGAGACGAGCTCAACTGCTGGTACAGCTCACTATTTACTGGGACAACTTGATACCAGTAATTCGCGGACGTATGCAAAAACCACCATCAATAACTTCGATAGCTGGCCAGTTGATTCAGCAGAACAATAAGAACATTCGAGTTATTTTTATTGCTATAATTGCTGGTGTTATCATCGATACAAAGGTAGGTAGGTAGGTTTATTTACATAAAAACAGTACTGCCGAATGAGAGATCCAAAATCTGAGTCTGAGTCTGAGTCTAGTTCAATTTTCCCGAGCTTTATTACGAAAAATCAGATACAATAGTGGCACATTCGAGCCAACAGTTTGAATTTCGGTTTGGTTTATTATTACTAAAAACTGTACGACTTAACTCTTACGACGGTGGGAATAAAGTGTACAAACCTGTCGACGTTCAACGGTGGACTGATATTCATTTAGCCTTAGAGCGCAGCAGTTCGCGCTTGGCAGAAACCCCCGCTGTTGAACGTCCCACATATAACCCCATTTCTCTACTACTCCTCTTGGCTACCCTGTATACCAAGCACTATTTCAGGCGGCCCTGTGAGCCAGAGAGAGACAGAGCCAGAAGTTACCCCCGTGTGTGTATGTGTCTTCTTCAAAAGGGAGGGAATCAACGCTGTGGGACACATAGTCTGTGCTGTATAAGCTACACCCCGTACTACACTATAGTTTCTGCCTTGCTGTACTGGCAGATCGTGCAACCAAACGGATAGGAGAAGAGGGAATCGTTACTATGGCGAGATCAATATGACCCTACTGCGCATGTCCGAGACTTCTCTACACTTTAAGCTCAACACACCGATGTTTCGTACTTCTCTACACTCTCTCTGATATTTCTTTATTTTACGGGGTATAATGCTGTACTTCTCTCTATATGGTATTTGTATTAGTATTAGTATTAGTGCTAGTACTCCACAGTTGTTCTAAAAGCCATGTATGATGTGCACAGTAAGCCACTGGCGTCTTCTTACTATACTATACTATAGCTTAATGTTCCGAGCCGTTCCTGATATCAGACTTGAGACGCTAATGATGTGAGATATCTATAACCACATGTCGGACCCCATAACGATCATAACTATATACTTTTATTTATTTATCGATTTATAATCGTCCTCGTCAGCCATTTTTATTATATTATGACTTTTTTTTAGTTTATTTATTTATTTACTTGGCTAGCTTTCGCTTATTCGGAGGCTGATGGTTAGCAGTCCTGGAAAAATAGTCAATGAACTGAGGAAAGGGGCTCTTGATTGGTGATTCAATTGTATTCGCGTGGCTAACTCTCTCTCTCGGTGTTCGGGGTATAGTACATCTATGTCACTTTGCTGTCATATATCTATACGAATATGTGTGTTCTATTTATATATATATATGTTGTTCCATTCTATTGTTTTAGACTAGCGCAGAGGGAGTGGGGATAGACGCAGAATTTGCCGCGCTTCGTTGAGAATATTTACCTTCTTGGCAATGAATATCAAGTGATTTTGAATGTTTTAGATAGATTGAAATTTATCGAATTATTGACCTAATATAAATATACAAATATCATATAAGTGAAGGATAATTCGATTAAAAAAATGTGTAATTTTATTTATAATTATTTTCAAGGTTTCAATATTTGCTCAGCTTCTTTTCAGTTTACTCAAGTATCAATTATTGATTGAATTAATTTTTCCGTATGATTTTATTTGACATAAAAGTACGATAATTGTAGAAGAGAGACATGTATGATTGATTCAATAGTAATTGAGGAAATAATTTTTGGTGACCTATTTAATTTCTTGTTCTTAAAAATTGTTATTGTTATGGTTAATTTTTTGTACTGCATCATTAATACTTAGAGTTTTATGTAAATTCTTATAATGAGAGCTAACATCGGTAATAAAATAATTGGATAAACGCCAAAATTTTATTCGTTCATTTAAATTGCAGTATCCATTTTGGAGATTACATTCCTCGGTCTCATCTGCACGACACCGGACGCGAACTTAGATGAACCGGCATATAATTTTCTTCATTTTTGTAATGACTCAAGTTTTTATCAGAGTAAGGATTAAAATTGTTTTTTTTTTTTCTTTTCGTGCATTACTTTGATTATTTTTCGTGCTTGTCGTGGCCCTTCACAAGTTCTGAGTGCAGTCGGTAGTTTCTATTTTGATAAATCGGATTTGTTAATACGGAAAATTGGTATCGCTAAAACGTTGGCTACTTTCCGGGAGGATTAAAGGAGCTGACCTATCTAACGCGCCGAGATTCTATTATGAGATCAATCTAACGAACAAGAACCATGATCTGACCCAAAAACGTGCCGTGATAGAACAATTTTATTTTTATCTTTATTGTAAAAATATTCAGAGTAACTTTTTGAGATAATCTTATAATGTCGAGATTTAGTAAAAATTAAATTTAAATTTTCTTAATTTTTTGGAATGAATTCGTCAATATTAAAGGCGCTAATCGAGCGAAAAAACTATATTTTTTGCGTGTTTAATTAAATTTCATCTTTATTTTTGGTTCAATAGAGCAGATTAAAAAGTATTAGTTTAATTTCTTCATTGAATAAATCTGTATGATTATCGACAATAGCTATCACGTATCTATTGGTGATGACTCCTGAGAATTTTTAACTGATATCGAGAGTTTTAACAAAAATACGTTGTTTTTTACAACGTACACTGATAAAAAATTTAACTTGACTCCAAAATCTTGAAGTTCTTGAATTCTTGAGTCAAGAAATTATTCTTGATGTAAATAAATTTTTCTTGTCTCAAGAATTTATTCTCTTGATTCAAGAAAATCATTTTCTTCAAAATGGTTCAAGATTTTGGCTCTTGAGTCAAGTTAATTTTTTTATCAGTATACGAAATAATTTTTAAAAAATTTTTTATGTTCATTAATGTAAAAGTTTTAAATAAAAATTAAATAACACATTCCCATTAAATTTTCCTCGTATTAAGTCGTAATAAATTTAAATTCGTCGGTAATTTCGATCTAATAAAAACTATGAGCAAAATTATAAAAAAAAAACGAATACAATACTTATTATTTTGTAAATGATATTAAATATTTTAAAACTAAATTTTAAAAAACAAATAATTTAAAAAATATTAAAAATTAGATACATCAGCTCTAAAAGGCTTATACAGTGCCATCTGACAGTCGGAATTGAAAGCCGATAGTCCTCGCATCTACTCTCCTTGTCTATGATTATCTACAGAGCTACAGAGACGGATACTAACCAACAATATTATTTTCCTGTCATTGTGTTCGTCCTACATTGTAACTGATTTATTTTTATTAAAATTTAGTTATTGATAGAATTAATTATATTATTATAAAATTTTATCATCCTGCAACTAATTGACATCAGCAGGTAAATTCTAGATATGGAGATATTCAGTGTGTGGTGCGTCAATAAGTCATCGCACTTTGCTTCCTATTGTTTGTGATGTTAACTGGTAATTGACGTTTTGTTTATTATGAAAAAAAATTGAATCAGTAATTAGAACTTATCTAATTATTTTTTAGATGTGTGTCAAGAGGAGACCATGATTCCACTTGATGGATAAAACATCCACCTACGATAGGCTCACCGAGCCATTATTTACAGATAACCAGCAATGTTTAATGTACAATTAAGCAGTACAGAGCCTCATATTACAAGCACCGCTAAAAATCATAATTCCAACAGTGTATTTTATACACCACTTACTTCATTTGCTGGTTTGTATTTTATATTTTAATAATTCAACAAATATTGATATGACTGTAATTATTCCTCAACTTCATTTTTTTTTTTTTTTAGTAATAATATTTATTGGATAATTTATAATAATCCTTTTTATTATTGAATTTTGATTATTATTCAATAAATTTAAAAATATTTATCAATTATTTATTCTAAATCAATAAAATGATATTTTATTCAATTGAAACTGACTCACCATTTGATGAACTGGAAGGTTGACAGCTGAAGCTTGCCTGGATACTCCTAAAAATAATAAACTAATTAGTTTTTCTGATTTTTTAAATAATTTTTTCAATGATATTGCACTTAATAATTACTAAGCAAAGAATCTTGACTTTTAATTTGGCTATTTATAATTTTATTATTTTTTATAATCATAAAAACTACACTTTTGGACTTTTTTCTTCATGAACCCTCATATTTTCAATTCTATATCTTTTATTTTATTTTTAATGTCATAAAAATTGTCAATTTAAAGAAAAATAGATTACATCTGATGATTTTCTATGAAAATTAAGTTAACCAACATTTAAACATTTTTATAATTTTTTTTTCATTGAAAAATTATTACAAATAAATAAAAAAAAAATTTCGTGGGGAAAAAACCTGAAGAATCATAATTGCAATTTTAAAAAAATATTTTTTAGTTCTAATTTAATATTTTTTTTTTTTATTTAATTTAAATTTTAGTTTTCTCTGTTGGTTATTTATCCTTTTTGTAGTTAATAAACTAAAAATTTTATTTAATTTATAATATTTGTTTTTTAAAAAAACAATTATTGATTATTTTTATAGAGTTTGATCATAAAAATAAATTATAATCAGAATAGAACCTATCTGATGTCCAGTCAAAATTATTAAAAAGAAATATTCGCGTGTTATTTTTTAATATTTAGTTCCCTGTCTTTTTTTCTCTTTTTAATTTACTTATTTTAAAACATTGTCTCTGCTTAATTATTTAAATATCATTAAAACAGCCATATATTTAATTATTTTACAACAAAAAAATTTATAACAAAGTCACGGCGGCCGTTTTGTTATAATCTGCGTTTAAGCAACAAAGAAAAAATTTCTCGAAAGATTTTTTTAAACTAAAACAATTATTTAATTACAAAAAAATATTTACCTTGTTTATTATTAAATTTTCACAATATTAATTAATTATTTACAACTTCATCACTATTTATTTAAAATAAAATACTCCGACCGCGAACTAACCCGAATTTGCAATCTCATTTAATTTATTTCCCGTTAAAAATAATTTAAATTCCATTTTTTATTTTTAAAAAACTCTAATTTACTCACTGACGCAATAATAATCATATTTTGTTAATAAATACTCACAAAAATAGTTTAAAAAGAAAATACTAACCCCTAGACGTGTCAACGAGCGAAAAAGCAAAGTAAAACTGTCACGGCGACCCGAACCGGCTCTCGTACTACCACAGAGCCGTTACTTTACTAACGCGATTTTCTATTGGTCTAAAATTCAAATTTCTCAAAAATAACCCAATCAGATTGATTTTTTTCTAACGCGAATTTTAATTGGCTAATTTTAAATTTGCTCGACCAATCACAGTCAAGATTCTGTCAGTTTGCAAAATAGCAAGAGGGAGCTTTAGAATGACCGTTATTTTTTTACTATTGTTACTTGTCGGAGCTTGCGGAGCATTCAGTCTGATGCTTTTGAGTCCTAATGTCAAAACTTCTTCCGGATTTCGTACAGTACGGGTTAATAATTAATATTTACGGTCGTGTTAATAAATTAAATAAGTAAATAATTAAATAATGAACCATAAATATTTTTTTGTAATTAATTATTTATTTTTTAGTCAAAATTTTCTCAAAATGGCTTCCGTGTGTGTGTGAGTTAACAGTTTTTTGGTTTGAAGTGGCAAAAAATTAATTAATATCCGCAGATTAATCATAATTTTGGCTGACAGGTACTTAATTATTTTTTTTTATTGATACAGAAATTATATTATAGAATATTTATTAATTTATATTACTCAAAATAGCGCATTAAATATTAGTTTTATTAAATCGAATTTTGATTAGAAAAAAAATTTTAACTATGAATTTTTTTTGTGACGTTTGATTTATTTATTAAAAAATCCATACAAAAATTACCAATCATGGAATAATTATTTTTCTAAAAATATTCATATGTAATATTTCTAAATTTTGCACATATGAATTTTTTTTTAATCCATTATTTAATTATTTAAGTCAGAAAAAATTATCAGACTCCATTTTCACTATAAAAATCTCAGGTAGTGAAAATTGATTTGACAATTAAATAAAAAAAAAAAATATTGAGCATCAATTTCATGCTCCTAAAATTTTTTTTCTAATAAAATTCAATCTCTCAATAAAAAAAAAATTCTTGAGCAATTTTTTTATCTAGTGTAATAAAAATTGTCTAATTATCTCTATTAAAGTTGAATTCCTGATACGCATTATTATGATTAATCTTAATTATATCTATAAATAAAAAGTAGTGTTATATTGAGTTTGTGTGTTGTGTTTTGTGAGTGAGTAAAAAAGTGAATTACAACCTAAACAATTAACAATTGAATTTAAAAGACAATGACAGTAAAGTTAGCAGTCATTAGATAATGTAAAAATTTTTTTTTAACAAAAAAATTTGTTCCAAAAATAATTAAAAAAAAATTTCATTTTTTTAAATTTCTCCATGCTAATTTTTTTCTTATTGTTTTTGCTATCATTTATTTGTTAAAAAAAAATTCTAAAAATTATTTAATATCTTCTAAATTTATTTTGATAAAAAGACAATATATTTTTTTTCTTCAATACGATTTGCAGTAGAATGCAGATTGGTAAGTCAGTTTCAATTGAATTTTCTAATTTTTGCATGATTAATTTGTTTAATATTTAATTTATTTATTTATTACGTCTCGATGATAAACAAATCTCCAAAATATGCCCCAATTATTATCCAAAAATGATTCGACTTTCTAGAATGTGAATAATTACAGTCACAAATCGATATTTGTTCAGCAATTAAAAAAAAGGAACAATAAATATTATTTAAAAAAATCATTTTCCAGAAATGTGGTACCAAATATTTTTATGGGCACTGTTTTCATCAATATTTGTCCACACAATAGCAGCATCGATTTGTTTTGGGACTTTGCGTAAACACAAATATGGAAAGTGAGTAACGACGACGTGTATAAAACTCAGTATCAGTAATTTGAGATAAAACAATAATCCAAATATTTGTACTGATGATTTAAACGCAGATTCTTTCCAATCCTGATTCTGGTAATGGGATTTTTGTTGCCATTGACGTCCGGGGTGTTGAGCTCTGCGGCAATAGCGTTTGTTTATCGGGCATCCAGCTACCAAATGCCACCTTTGTACGCATTGTTTTGGGGGATAGGACAAACTGTTTTGGCTGCTTGCGTCGGTTTCACTCGCATTCTAGCGACCTTGTAATTATCACGGTATTTATCGCTCAAACCCACCCTTTACTTCATCATCCAAACCTTCAAACGCCATGTTTATGTTTCTCCCGATCAACAGTCGTTTGCTACCAACAGAATTTATTCACTGTCACTGTAAATATTATCCTACATCGTCCTACTCTTGAGTTCGACATACCTAATTCGTTATTTTTTATTTAATACTTTTGATTTTTTTTACACATTCATGATTATTGATAATCATCAGGGTGTTTTAAATACCCAGCTCACTAATGTCTTTCATGTGATATAATTATTAACAGACATTAATTATATATACTTATTTCATTCTTTACTGCCGTTTTATTTTTTATACTCACTAGAAATTTTGATTTTATTGATTTAAATTAATTATTTTCATATTTTTTATTATTAAAAACAAAAAAAATAATTTTTATTTAAAAAATTTATAAATTTATTTTTTTACTAAATTCTGAGATTTTTTTTTATTCTTGAAAAAATTAATTTTTGGTTTTTAAAATATTAAAATAATTTTTTTTGTAGATAGTTTTATTAAAAATTTAAATATCAAAATAAATCAACAAAATATTAATTTTCTAGGCATGAAAATAAATTAAAGTAAAAAAAAAAATTTTTTTATAAATTATATAAACCTAAATAACAATAATTTTTTTTTTACTCGCCGATACTTGCACAAAAACGATCAACCATTCCGTTAGAATAATTAAAAAAAATATAGAATTGCTCGAACAATTCTTAGCATCTTAATAATACATCAATTATTATTATTATATAAAAAAATAATTTATAATATTTAATATATTAAAAAAAATAAGGCTTTAAAAATGTACATAAAATTACAATTACTATAAATATTATACTATTTACTCAAAAAAAAAAATGTATCAAATGTAAACTTGTGAATAGCTTTAAATACAGACTATTAAAAAATAATGAGCTTGCATTGAAAATCTGAAATGCTGATGAAAATCAGTTTAAGAAAACAAATTCCAATGCACCCCTGGAAAAATTCGCGCAAGCGTGCTGCATCTCCAGATATATAACAAACTCTCATCCCCGTGGTCTACTCGCTCTTATCAATTCAGTAGCGTCCGCTTCGCAAAAATGATACGTCGTTTAGATACTAAAGCTCGCCGGGTTATTAATTTTTCATCTAATTTTTCAACAAGTACCCGAACTACTTGACTCTTATCTTTGTCATTATTATTTTTATTATAATAATCATCATTACAATAACAGTTACTCATGTGATAAATTGTAGGATTAGAAGATTAATTATTTTTCGACTCCAAGGTGCTATCGATTTAGTTATCTAGACGTTTGGATGGAAATAAATCTTACAATTGTTTTCACACATTCTATAACTCTTATATTTATTCATACAATCTTTATGTATTATTAATAAATTAATAATAATTGTTGATAGTACAAAAAAGTGTTTGTTTCTGCAAATCACAATTGTAAGTAAAAAATTTAAAAATAATTCATTAAATGCCGGTCACATTAAATTACAAATTACAAACTAGTGATAAATTAAATTTCCGATAAAAAATATCGCCAGTCAGCTTTATATAACATCAAGTAGAATTCCAGCAATTAAATAATGAAAAAAAAATTAAAATATCTGTATGATGAAATGATGGAACTACGCAGAACTTCATGGGCTAAAAAATCACTTTTAATAGCAAGTTTCGTCCTGATCCTGCTCTGGATTATTTTCAACGATACATTTTGTGCCTTCGGCGGTTTGTCACGCAAAATAGTCCTCAACAGAATAAGACTCGCCACACATATTCACATAGAAAGAGCGTCTGCTCTCAGAGAAGTCAAAGTCGAAGAAATTCCCCTGGATAATTTTTTACACTTACAAGCCAATACTACCAAGGTCCAGGTAGTCTCGTTGCTGGCTAACAACGCGAGCTTGAAGGACAACACCGTGGATGTGTCGCCGAAGTACAAAATTCTGAGACAGCAAGGCTTAATACCCAGCAGACAGCTTCCCAGTGCGCTGATAATTGGGGTTAAAAAAGGCGGCACTAGAGCGCTTTTGGAGTTTTTGAGGCTTCATCCGGATATTAGAGCTGCTGGCTCTGAAATACATTTTTTTGATCATCACTATTCTAAAGGATTCCATTGGTATAGGTAATTTCTATTTTTCGTAGGAGGGATTGAGGTTTAACTTTTTTTTTCTTGGTGAAAAAAATTGATTGAGTTTTTTTTTATGAGAATTCTATAAGCTGCTTTGATTAAAATCATCGTGTTGGAATGCAAAATGATTAAAATGTTTGTTTTTAATTTTTTTCAATCCTTTGAAGCTTTTATTTTTATTTTTGTTTATTTTTTTTATGTAAAATTTAATAATTAAACAAAAAAGTATCAAATACGGTATTAAAATAATTAATAAGTATCTAACTCCTATTTGTCTAATTTGTCTAACTCCTCATTTTTTAGAGGGTGATTTTTTAACATTTTGATGTAGCAATAATCCAATTATAAATTATTTGAATGATTTAAACCTAAATATTATATCTCTATTAGATATTAATGATATTAAATGGTTTTTTAAAGTGATAATAAATTTTGAACTAATTGTTTTTTTTTGACAAATAAAAGATTCTCTAAAATGGAGTTAGACAATTTGCTAATTAGAACGTTGATATTTGTTTGGTAATCGGAAAAAATGTTAAAGTTATGAAAAATTCATATTATTTCATTAAAATTTTCTTGAAAAACAAGCACCCCCAGAATAATTGCTCCATTTTTTGTTACTAAAAAAAATTATTATTATTATAATTTTTATTTTATAATAATAATTTTAATGAATTTTTCATGACTAAAATTTTTTCCGGGATTCATATATTAAAATTTTTTTAATATGATTTTAATCAAAAGAATCTTAAGAATTCAAATAATTAGAAACAAAGTTGAAAGATATATTACTAATGTAAAAAAATAAAAAACAGACATCGCATGCCACCAACCCTAGAAGGCCAATTAACGATGGAGAAAACACCGTCATACTTTGTGACTCCCGAAGTACCAAGAAGAGTCCAGCATATGAACCCAGGTACAAAGCTGATAGTAGTGGTGCGTGATCCAGTAACACGTGCTGTGTCAGACTACACTCAAGTTAAAAGTAAACGTCCAGAATTGCCTAAGTTTGAAGAACGTGCCTTCGTAAACGGGTCAAACATCGTCGACACTAACTGGGCACCCTTGAGAATAGGAGTTTATGCACGGTATTTGGAGCGGTGGCTTCAGTACTTTCCATTGTCTCAATTGCTATTTGTGTCTGGCGAGCGTTTGATTGCTGACCCGGTCATTGAAATAACAAGAGTTCAGGACTTTCTTGGACTCAAGCGTGTAATATCGGAAAAGCACTTTTATTTTAATGCTACCAAAGGCTTTCCATGTTTAATGAAGTCTGAACAGAAAGCTATTCCTCACTGTCTTGGTAATTATTTTTATTATTAGTACAACTTATAACTTTATCATTTCAATAAAAACAATTTACAATATTTTTGTTTCATTTTATTTATTATTTTATTTTATTTTTAATTTTCTATTTACATTTAAGGTAAAACTAAAGGACGTAGTCATCCGTACATCGATCCTATGGCAATTCAACGGCTAAAAAATTTCTATCGACCATTCAACCAACGTTTTTATCAATTGACTCGCATGGATTTTGGTTGGTCATAAAATAATTTAAAGACTAATTTAAACATATCTATTATCAGTTAATTCAAATATAATAAATAATGTCAATTCTTGTGATCTAAGTCAATTGCTTTGAATTAACGGTGCATTCACTCAATAATTACAATTATTATTATTATTAATTTAAAAATTAAGAGTATTAAAAACATTAAAGCTACTAGAATAGACATAATTATTTATTTTACGACAAAATAATTATTTAATTAAACTGCACGTTTTTGCTCAATAACAAGTAAACTAAATGCTAAATTATAAAAGAGAATTTATGTATATATATATATATATCTATATATTAGTAAATAAATAAACATATTTGTACGAGGATCTAAAATTGTTAAACTTATTTACCTATATTATATTCACTCAATATACTTAGTAAATTCTAAAAATATACGTTTGTATTCTTATCAACAGCTCGGTTGTCTATCTTGATTCTTTTTACAGATAATCTTTTTTCATTAGAACGTAAAAAAAAATTATCACAGTACTCCCAATCTACGTAATGTGTATTATTAAATAATTAAAATCCATACCGTTAATTACTGATTGAGTACTAGCGTAATTAGTTAAGTAATTACAAAGTTTTATTATTAAGATAATTAAGTAGCAAAAATTTTTTGGTACAATTAAATTAATACTTTAATAATTACTCAATGCATAAATTAATTAACTTTATATTAAAAGCCTGAAGTATTGATATAAAAAAAAAATTTATTATTCTTTAATTATATTTTTATAATTTTTTAAAACACAATTTTAATCAATTTAAAGACTAGAAAATTTTTAATGACAAATATTATAAAAATTTATCAGTTGACATTAATTCAATAAATTGTTAATATCTTTAATTCATAACAATTAATAATAAATACAAAGTATTGTAATGACTACATTTGTATAATTGACATTATGTAATCACTTTGGACTTTATAATTTGCATAATAATTTTTAAGAACACAATAAATTTTTTTTTGTTAATAAATTCTTAGATTTTTTGTTATTCAAACTTTAAATTACAATAATTTTAAAAAATATAAAAAAATTAACTAGTAATAAAATAAAATATCAATATCAATAATTGAGGCTTTTACTTTCCACTCAGAATACTGATTTCACTATAAAAATATTTTCCAATTTAAATAATTGGATAAATGCTTCTTATAAAATATAAATTTCCTATTTTCTATTTATATAAGAATTAATAACAATTAAAAAAAAAAAAAAAAATAAATACATCCATACGTACATACAATGCTCAACATTCTTTAAATTTACGGTACCGAAGAGTTCGGTTTTTCTTTAAAGTACCCCCGGGCCTTCAATAAATCGTCAAGAGCTTCCTGAGTGTAGTAAACAACAAAATCGGTGGGTTCAATGCCCTCAAAAACAGCGTGAACAGAGGGCTTAAGATTGTAGAAGAAAAGCGGCTGCTTGCGTGCGGCAAAGTCCCTCGAAAGGCTTTCAACGACTTTTGCGGCCGAAAAATCGGCACCGTAAATATGAGAGCAGTCGATAACTACCGGTGTCATTGAATTACCAGCACAATGGCTGTACTTGGTCACGAGGTTTCTCACGTAATCCACTGACGGGAATATCAGGCAACGATCTGGCGTCAACATAAGATACTCCACGCCACGGCAGCTCTGCAATAAATAACACCAAGTTAAATAAGTAAATATCGTGCATAAAGCAGCAATCTCGTGTATGCTGAAATGTAAAATGAAAAACTGTAAATAAATCTCGGAGCAAAAAAAAATAGACTCGTGTACTCGGTATTACATCACTCGCCTGTAATTATCCTCTTATTGCTTACATGAATATTAAAATTTCTGCATAATTGTCAACAGTTCTAATTATGATAACTATCATCATAAATATTTCTTAATAATTATCCTCATTATTATTGTTAATTATTAAATAATAAAAATTTACCCGAAGTTTTTCCAGCGAAATTTTCGGTCTTGCTGCGTGATGAAGAATAAAGAGTATATTCAACCCGATTCCAACGAGAATTCCTATTTCTAATTGCAATACCAAGCACGCAATGAAAGTTGCTATCCCTGGTATTAAGTCAGATTCTATAAAAAATAAAATATTAAAAATGATTAATTATTCTGAATTTTATCAGACGCATGATGAAATCTGACTCGGTTTTGTTTGGCCGTCTAATCACACGTCTGCAATATTCAATATAAATGCATAAGTAAAATATGCTAATTTCAAGGTAAACTTGTTTTAATTTTAAACAGTAAATTATCAATTTTCGCTTAATTTTATCTTGGCTCTAATTTTTTACCGCTGTTATGTAAAACTTCCGTTATTTTTTGACGATTATCTACAAACCAATTAAAAAAGACAGTGACAAACGATTGTTTGTATGCAACTATACTCACTCTTGGTTCTCCACATTGGCTTTATCACCTTGACTTCGACCATAAAAATTACCGCTGATATAATTATTGCCGCTAAGCATGCTTTTGGTATGAAGTAAAAGTAAGGTGTGAGAAAAAGGAGCGCTAACACGACTAGTATTCCTGCAAAAAATATATATAAATAGAGTGAAGAAATTCTATTTATTTAATGAATGAATTAATGCCGTAGAAAGGATTTAATTAATCACCAGTGTAAAGTCCGCCGAGTGGAGTTCGAACACCAGAAGCGTTATTAACAGCACTTCTGCTGAGTGAACCAGTTCCAGGAAATGACTGAACGAAAGAACACCCGAGATTTGCTAATCCAATGGCTATTAATTCTTGTGTAGCATCTACAGATTTTCCATTACCTAGAAATTATTCCACAACCATAATTAAATCAATGATTAATTAATCTATTAACAATAATTACGATTACATCCGATGAGTAATGAACTTACTGAACGCCTTGCAGACTGCGACGACTTCCATCAAAGAAATCAGCGGCAGAACAATAAGCCCGCTGCCCAAATTTGAACACATTTCGACAAATGACACTGTTGTGTTGTTTTTTGTGAATCCAAAGGGCGGAAATTCAACAGAGGGCATTCCTCCAGGCAAACTTCCTGCAGAAAAATGAAAAATTGTTTATAAAATCATCATTTAACAAAAGTTAGATCATGATAGAAGTGAAGATTATGCACCTATTAGTTTAAAAGGCGGCTGAGAGGCAAAGTAATAGCCTATTATCCCGCAAACAATCACCAATATCGCATTTCTTGATGTTCCAGTCAGCCAAATAAGTTTATTCACCACTCGATGCTTCGTTGTTTGCGAATTTTCGTCAGCCGGGCCGATTTGAATTGTAGCTACATGCTAATGTTTAGAAGAAAATTGATTAGAAGCTTTGGAAATGGTTTATGGAAGGAATGGGACACTTACCCGTAAGAAAAGGAGGACAATGATGCAAGAAACTCCTAGAATAGCATCATACTGAGAAGTTTGATGAATCCCTTCAGCAATGCCTTTCCAAAGGCTGATGAATGTCGCTCCCTTTGCTGGGATTCCTAGGATGTCTTTAATTTGAGACGTGACAATTATCAAAGCGACTGCTGATGTGAAACCAGAGCTCACTGGTCCAGACACAAAGTCGATGAGAAATCCTGATTTGGAAAAGATAATTGATTTTTTTGAAGAATTCTTTGTTGCTTGTTTGATCAGATAAGATTAATGGATTGATTAGAAGTGAGTAATGGAAGATGAAGGTTCGAATGACTCACCTAGGCCGAAAATTCCCATGAATAGCTGTATAATCCCACAAAGACAGCAAAGAAGGATTGCGTGCTCAACAGGAGCGTTTAAATGGGCTACGGTTTGATAAGTTAACAAAGATACTATCGCACTGGGTCCAAATGGTACCTCTTTGCAAGATCCGAAAAATATGTAAATGAATGCTCCCAGAAAACTTCCGTATAATCCGTACTGAAAAAATTCAGAAAATTGGCAATTTGTATTTGTGTAATTTTTACTAGACATAAATTAAAATTAATTTGATTCAAGAGCAAGAATTTTGAATCAAGAAAATTATTTTGAATAATTAGATCAATTTTTTATGAATGGATATCAAAATTTGGACAATTACTTGTGGAGGTAATCCAGCAACATTGGAGTATGCAAGTGACTGTGGAATGACCGTCAACCCGACAGTTATACCAGCGACAATATCACCCAATGCGTCATCTCCATTGTACTTTGGCAACCAGCCTAAAATAGGTAGCCGCCTGAAGAGCATTTTTTTGGTACACAATTTTTTAGCCCGCCGCGCCGTATATTCGCAAACGGACTTTAATACATTGTCCTTTCGTTTGGTCCTATCATCTCCTGGCTCTTCCATCACTGAATCATCATTAACAACAAAAATAATTATTTTAATCAACAAATTAATTTTGATTTATTTATAAAACTAAATCATGCCAGATCTGTATTTTTGATTATGTTTACGTCCACTTAGGTTTTATTCGATGTAATTTAGTTTTAATGAGACTGTTTATTTAGCCTCGTTATTCTTAATACTACAATTTTATCTTTTCATTGAATAGCCAAGGATCCTAATTTTGATAACAATTACAATTAATTTTTTATTATCATATGATTATTTGATATTTACAATCTATGTTTGAGCATATTATTTAGATCTTAATTATCGGATTTAAAAGGCAAATTATTTAAATGTATGCATTCAAGCCAAACATATTTTATTTTAATATGACCATTAATTATCTTTTGTTTGATATTTCAATTTAATGAATATTCTGTATTGTTTTATCAGATATCTATTAAAAAATCTTATTTTTTGAATAATAAGTCGTTAATTATTGTCATTAAAAACAAAGTAATTTATCTTGTCTTTGATAATTAATCTTTGGATTTAAATAATCAAAAATACATTTTTTGTATCTTACTTTTTGGATGTCCTCATCGAAAGCAAAATAATTAACCAGTATTCAATTAATCATAATATCAAGTTCTAATTATTTTAATATAAATTGTAAAACGTGGAAGAAATTTCAATTAGTAATTTATAAAATTTTATTTATTTGATTGGTAATTTTATTATTGTTGTTTTAATAAATAAAAATTTTCTTTTTTATCAATAAAATTTTGTTCCACATTTTACAATATATCAATAAAAAAAAAGGCAAATATAAACCATAAAAACTCACAAATTAAATCATATGAGGACTGCAAATCAGTTCGTCGTTCACAAACAGAATTCTGAAGTTCATAAGAGTTGCGTTTATTAATATCCAAATTTTCTTGAGAGTTGTTCATAACCGGATTGACGTATCCGTTCAAAGGTTTCTCGTTTATTTCATACATTTTTTTTCCGTTTCTCATCTTGACAAATTACTTATTTAAATATAACTCGTCCAACATAAAAAAACTTGTCTCAATTTCTGCTACTTGTTTTGTTTATCTTCTCAGCCAATTGTTTACATGGGTTAATTTAAAGCATCGCTGAAAAATAAAGCATTGCATACTTTTAATAATTGAACTGAACTCGTGTTGAATTTAAATGTATATGTATATATACACGCATATATTATTGTTTACATTCCCAATGATCGGTAGAAAAAATATTTATTATCAATATTGACTTTTGAAACGTGGACTGTTAACAATTGTCACTCAATTGATATATATTTACAGCTTTAAAGAGCTACAAATTTATAGTCTGGTTCTGGTCTGACAATACGCCCGTCCTTGAGAGTAATTACTTAAGACGATCCAACACATTACCACATTTCCTCATTCTTCAAGATAATAACATTAATAATAATAACAAAGGTTTTAAACTGTTGTAAATAAATATTTTTAATTTAATAATTCTTTTTTGTCATCAACTACGCTCGCATTTTTCACCAGCAATTATATTTTAATAAAAAAAAAAAAAAAAACCTTCGTTTTATTTACTCAATTACCGGCGATAAAAAATTTTAAGCAAAAAAACTATCACGTGGAGTCATTAAAAAATAATTTAAAAATTAATTTTGCAAAAAATATTGCACCAGATTAATTTGTATCTAGATTGTTGAGTCACTCGGTCAATTAAACGATCAACCAGTTATCTGTTGTATAGTTTAAACATTATTTACGGTACCGCATTTTTACAGCAATCGAGATCGAGTTGTCTTAATCGATGCAATAAATCATAAATAAAACGTAGTATATTGTCATCGTCTTTATTTTATGATTTTTATATATTTATAATTCAAAAACAATGTTATTGAAACATCAAAAGTTCAAGAATAAATTTTGATAATTTTTAAGCAATTGAAAATTAATCCTACGGAGAACTATTAGAGAGTTTATTAAGAGGAAAATAATTATAAGCTTCCTTGCTTACGTATAAAAGTAATAAAATTTCTGAGTTATTGATAGTAAATTATTTTATTAGCTCTGCAAATGTCGAACAAGGAATAAAATATGCAACTTTGAGAATTGATGACGGTTTTTACTTTAATAAATTTTTGTGATTAATAATAATAATAAAATTTTTAAAAAGGTAATAATAAAATATTAATTTCAAATAAATGGTATAAATTATAAAAAATTTGATAAAAATTCTTAAAAATTAAAATCTGAATCTCAAATATTTGTCACGGATTTTAATCCGCTAATCTCAGTAAGTAATTTCATTGATAAATAAAGATAAAAATTTTAAACAGTGACATTAAATTGATAACAGTTTAAACGGTTGAAAGTAAAAATTTATCAGTACAAGGAAAGGATTAACTTTAAATGATTGATAACGCCAAAAGTTCATGAACAAAAAGATAATACAATAGAGCACGTGCAAAAAAAAACTCGTGACATTCTTGAGTAGATATATTTAATAAAGAAATTTTTTTACAACAAAGTATGCGAGGAATAAATATTTAAAATCATAAAAATTTATACTGTTAATAATGATGATTAAGATTATGATTTTCATGATTATTATCATTACCTGTTGGCATATAAGGACCAGAGAGTTGGATTTGAGCCATAAAGAGAAATTAACTGATACACTGAGTTAAGTATAAAGAATAGTTAAGTGAGTGGTCAATTGTAGGTTGTGAACCCAGAGTTAATGCATGTCTGCATCAAGTCCAAGGAAATCATTAGACAAATAATTAATTGTTATTTTATTTATTTTTTTTTCTTTTTTTTTTTTACCAGTGTATTCAGTAGTTTTAACTTTAAATTACAAGTTTACGTGCGGTATGCAGCTGATTACGTGAGTCCGTGTGTAGGAAATGCAGATAAAAAATAATAACGTCTTCAACTATTTTTACGTAATAACCAGGTCATTTCGTAACTTTCAAATTTTATGTCGATCAATATTTAACACGGTTACCGGGATTTATTTCAAAAATTTGTAATTAATGATTGAAAAAATTTTATTTTTTTTTCTCAATTTTAGACTAAATATTTTGAGTAGAGAATTTTGAATTAGAACAATAAAAATTTGAGTGATATTGACCTTTTGTAAAATGAAGCAGTGATTTACCACAAGGAGAAATAGTAAATTATACGTCAGCCATGATCTTTACAACCGTGCAAATTCTGACGAGCTTAAATAAATAAAATGACTATGAACATAAAAATCTTAAACAATTAACAATTGACAATAATTTACCGAGTGACGGACAATAAAAATTAATAAGTGATAAAAAATGTGACATGGTCAATGTCTTGCCGCGTAAATCAATTGTTTGTAATCAATAGTCATTTAATTAACGACCCGTGAGTAATAATATATAAAATTACCTTTGTAATCAGCAGCCAGTAGTGACACTCAAAAACGTCAATGTAACTTTTTCAACTATTAACAAAAGTTTTTATTTAGCGAAAGAATAAACTTAACATTTTTTCCTCATAATTACCGCTTTTGAAAGTTAAAAATAATATTTAAAAAATAATAACTAGTCGTTAACGATTCCATTGTTAATTACATAAAATTATCAATCACTCGGTTTTTTATCTAGCACACGTGGACTCCAAGCACATTGTGAGTGGAATTAAAAAATCGGGAGGTGCAATTAAATCGACGGGCTTTAAAAATAAAGAATTTTACCTGACAAAGTTTGAACTGCGTTTAGATAGCCCGACGTACTTACTTATATATAAACGGTTAGAACGATTCTCCAGCTGTGTTTTCCTGTATCATAAGACACTTACCCCACTCTTGTCCTTTTGTGTCAGTGAATCCCATCCCCACTTGCTTTTGGTGTTGATAGACGTCACTTAACTGGTGAACAAGCGAATAGGAAATTTGAATTTTATTTTATTTAATTAATTACTCTACGGTTTTACGCATCGAGTTATTTAATCTCCGATCCTCGTGATATTAATTATTGATAATTATTATTTATTGTTATTGTTATTATCGTTTCTGTCGCTATTATTCTTTGTAGTATGTTCGTTATTACTTGGCTAATTTACCATATAAAAACTTAACAGCCGAGCTTCATGATGATACTGATAAGCCGTATAGAACTTTATTGTCTATTTATATTTTTATTTTATTTTTTCTTCTGTTATTTTATGAATTATAAATACGGGTAGGAACTAAAAATTGTAGATTCAAATCATTGTTAACAATATGTCGGTACATACGTCTGTAATTCTGAGAAAAGAGAAAAGTTGGATTGAATTTAAAGTTTTAGAATTTTTTGTGCGTCATTAGATTATTATTATTATTTTTTTTTTCAATTTTTAACATTAATTATAAATTAGTATTACAAATTATTGTTACTTTTTTTTCGATAAAAAAATGAATAAATAAGATAAAAAGTAATCTTTTCGATTTGTCCAAAGATCACTACTGTTTATCGTGTTTGAAACAAATCCAAATATAAACAAATAAAATAATAATGATTAGTATAAAAATAATATCTGGTCAATATGACCAGACATGTGATTGTTAACTATTGAGTCAATATTACATAAAAATAAATAAAGGAAATAATGACAACAATAAATTTAAAAGAATCTTTAGATAACAATAAATAATGAAATATTGAAGTATAAACAATTTACATAATCTATAATCACAATCTGATTAAACAAAAACATTTTTCCGAAAGATGACAGTGTTTATGTTACCAAATACACTTAAACAATTATCAAAGACATTATTCATATATACTAGTATGTATTTTATTTAACTATACATGAAATGAAGATTAGGCAAGACATCTGTTGATAAATATAACTCTGTTTGCCGAAAAATAAACATCTGAGAATCTCATGACAGTCACGAGAATCAAACATTTTAATTTTTCAATCGTTATCATAATTACTCAGGTGGATTTGCATTTATTATTCTGAAAAACATCTTATCAAATCTCTCTTTTTTTTTAATTTAATTTACGGACAATACAGAGATTAGTGTACTGAGAGTATGCATTTACGCGCATACACAGAAAAAAAAATGTTTTTGAATCAAGTATGTAATTTTGAAGAACTTAATATTCTTAATTTGAGTAGAAAAATTCTTGATTTAAGGAAATTTTACTTGGTTTGAATCAAATCGACGTTCTAATTGGAAAATTGTCTAACTCCATTTTAGAGAATCTTCCATTTGTACGAAAAAAATAGTTAGTTAAAAATTTATTATTACTTAAAAAAACCATTTAATATCTAATAGAGGTATAATATTTTGGTTTGGATCATTCAAATAATTTATAATTGGCTATTACTACATCAAAATATTAAAAAACCACTCTCTAAAAAATAGGGAGTTAGACCAATTGCTAATTAGACCGTCGAAATTAATTTTTTTTTTCAGTGTATGTATCACTAATAAATGAGATTTATTGAATGATGTTTAAGGTAATCGCATCAAATGTTAATAAACGATTGATCCCATTTTTATTAAATTTATTTGCATAGTTAATTAATTAATAACCCACTCGATGAAAAAGGGTATTGCATAAAATGGATATTGTGTATAATATTATAAATAGAAAATAAAGTAGCGTGTAATAGTAATAATAGTAATAATAAAGTCCGTTTGAATAAGCGGTTATTGACATCGGTAATTTGTACTTGAAGAATAAAATGGTTTGCGCGATCGCCAGTATCATAATATATTATAAGATTGAAAGCACGTGATGAGAGTTCGAGAAAAGTTGTGTACGTTCTCAAGTCGTGTACTAATATCTACAGATATAGATATATATATAGATATAAATTGCATGAATCGCTGGTTGTGAGGTCAACTAGTTTTAATTAAATCGTCACATGACTGCTGGCCAAGGGAGAAATGACCAGTCACGAGGAAATATTTTTTTTATCCGGATTTACTACGCAACCAGTATTTTATCGTAATTATCATTTTTCAAACCGCT